GTATCACTACTATTGGTACTTGGGTAGCAAGATGTTATTTCACAAGCCACCCATCATTTAGAACAATACAATATAAACATACGCAAAAATTTATTGGTATTTTTCAATGTGCAATTTTTACACTTATGAATTTCTGTACAATATCTTAAAATCTAGAATATAAATGTTGCTGGTCCTGATCCCTTGTGAAATTAGTGCAGCAGTGACTGGCTCCAATAAGCTCCAGGTGAAATCCTCAGGAGATCCAAATCCTTGGATTTAAGTTCATATTCTTCAGCCAACAGCAGTCAGTATCACATATCATACAGGGCCATTGACGGATGCCTATGCTACTAGAGTTTGATGATCAGTCCTAGGGAATGAAAAGGAAGATTTAAGATTAGCTTTTTCATGCAATCAATGCAGATAACTGGCGTACATGCTGTAGCATTCACAGTAATGTTTTTTTCCTTTGAGCAGTCATCTGTGCATTCATTTGTAGAGGTCATTGGCTGTGCAAATTTGGAAATTTGTAGACACGGAGTTTTGGCGGCAACCTCACTATTCTTATCTAAAGCACATTCAGTGGTTCAAAAACAAAACAAAACTGGACAATACAGTAGCTGTATGTCAAACTACCTACAGATATTAAAGAGAGGAGGAAAAGCCGATTGTGTAAATGCACAGGTGGGCAGCTGAAAAACGACTCTTACAGGTAAACAACTTATTTTACATTTGTGGTATCTTCATTCACATAAAATGGCAAACACTAACAGGGCACCTGGAAGGCAGGTGAGACAGGTACTTCCTCTAACTGGAACACTGCAGGGAGACCAGCAATCCCCAATAAAAGCATCCCTCTGAGAGCAGGAGGTTGAATCAGCAACTTAGGCGGAAGGACAAGGGTTGAGACCAAATCACTGTATGACACCATTCAAGTAGGGAAACTTGCTGCAGGAAGGCAGTGAGAGTAGCCATTGCCCTGGCAGAGTGGCTCCTCTGGTCAGCTGGCAATAGAATTTCAGCAGTCTGTACACCACCATGATCATCTTCACAATCCATTTGGCAAAGCTTTGCAAAGAAACTGGCAATCCTTTCTCGGGGCATAAATGAACCAAAGAGCTGTAGAAATTTACCATACAGAGATGTCCTAGGCACATAATATGCTAAAACTTTTTTGGCATCTGATTTTGCAACAGAACTGAAGATGTGTAGAGAAAAGACTAGGAAAACATTGCCCCACGAGAGGGGAAAGGCTGAGACAAATATTGATAAGAATTAGACATTAGAATTAGAGATGGAGGATGACTTTACTGGGTCTCAGTGTATATATGCTTTGTCCAACTGCAAAGAGTTCTCTTTTATGGTGTGAAGGTTACTTTGCCTGGAAGCAATGCCAAAGAGGTAAGGGTCCAGTGATTTGAAAAGCTTCCTGAGTTGTGTGAGGCATAGGGGGAGGCTTCAAAGTGGAATCCGCAAAGCAGGAGTTGGGTATTTGTGTGCCACCGTGCATGGAAATTTTCTGACCTCTGGGAGCCTGAAGAGCAGAGAGTGTTGTATGGAATGTGAAGCTAGCTACCATGTTTACCCGAAAACAAGACAGGGCCTTATATTAATTTTTGCTCCCCAAAACTCATTAGGGCTTATTTTTAGGGGATGTTTTATTTTACAGTCATGTTATCATCTTCTGGTTGCTACACAATGGTGGAGGGCAGGGTTTCACTTAACTGGGGTTTATTTCTGTAGTAGGGCTTATATTATGAACATCCTGAAAAATCATGTTGTTGTTTAGTTGTTAAGCCGTGTCTGACTCTTCGTGACCCCATGGAGCAGAGCACGCCAGGCCCTCCTGTCTTCCACTGCCTCCTGGAGTTGGGTCAAATTCATGTTGGTTGCTTCGATGACACTGTCCAACCATCTCGTCCTCTGTCGTCCCCTTCTCCTCTTGCCTTCATACTTTCCCAACATCAGGATCTTTTCCAGGGAGTCTTCTCTTCTCATGAGATGGCCAAAGTACTGGAGCCTCAGCTTCAGGATCTGTCCTTCCAGTGACCACTCAGGGTTGATTTCCTTTAGAATGGATAGGTTTGATCTCCTTGCAATCCAGGGCACTCTCAAAAGCCAGCACCACAATTCAAAAGCCTCCATTCTTCAGCAGTCAGCCTTCTTTATGGTCCAGCTCTCACTTCACAGCTACTGGAAAAACTATAGCTTTGACTATGAAGACCTTTGTCCACAAGGTGATGTCTTTACTTTTTAAGATGCTGCCTAGGTTTGTCATCGCTTTCCTCGCAAGAAGCAGGGGTCTTTTAATTCCGTGGCTGCTGTCACTATCTACATTGATCATGGAGCCCAGGAAGGTCAAATCTGTCACTGCCTCCACATCTTCCCCTTCTATTTGCCAGTGGCCATGATCTTGGGTTTTTTTTATGTTGAGCTTCAGACCATTTTTGGTGCTCTCCTCTTTCACCCTCATTAAGAGGTTCTTTAATTCCTCCTCACTTTCTGCCATCTGAGTGGTATCATCTGTATATCTGAGGTTGTTGATATTTCTTCCAGCAATCATAATTCAATTCCTGCTTGGGATTCCTCCAGTTCTGACTTTCGTATAATGTATTCTGCATACTGTATAAATAAGCAGGGAGACAATATATAGCCTTGTTGTACTCCTTTCCCAATTTTGAACCAACCAGTTGTTCCATATCCAGTTCTAACTGTTGCTTCCTGTCCACATATAGATTTCTCAAGAGATAGATAAGGTGGTCAGGCAATCCCATTTCTTTAAGGACGTGCCATAGTTTTCTGTGGTCCACACAGTCAAAGGCTTTTGTGTAGTCATGAAAAATCATACTAGGGCTTATTTTTAGGTTAGGTCTTATTTTCAGGGAAGCAGGGTAGCTAGGCTGATAATGAAAGTTGATTAGCTTTAACTGGAAGAGAATGATAAACCTCTATCCAACAGGGAATTGAAGAACCTTAGATAGCAAAAAACTATTTGGATCAAAATTGTGATCCATGGTGAAAGAGCAAAAGGTCCAACATGCATAATTGTAGAAACAATGTGTAGATGGTTTTCTTGCAGTTTGAATAATTTGAATTATCCTACAGAAGGCTGCATCCTCAATGCTATTAGCCTGAGTGCAGAGAAATCAAGGTTAAAATTTTATTGACATGGAGAGCGCCTTGGAGTGATGGTACTTAATATGGAGTGGAAACAGAAGATGGCAAGAACAAAAAGATTGTGAGTACAGTAAAGACCTCCAAGTTCCCACCACAGATGCCAAAACCCATGGATAATAGCAAATCCATTTTGGCTCCCTCTAGTAGTTCTGGTAATTTTTTTCTTTTAATATTTTAAATATTTTCAGACTGCATACTTTTAGTGGCAGATACAAAGACTCTACTGTAATCTCTACAGTATTAATACAGACAGCATGATTAGGAACAATAGTCATGGTATCAAGAGTTGTCATTAACAGTGTGTTTTCTGCAGTAAACCTTATACAGAGTGTGCATGACAAAGGTGCGATATTCTTTGTGAATCTCTGTATCTCCTATAGAGATCCAAGTAGCTGGGTATCAGGAGGGGTAGCTGTGTAGCTAAGAGACTCAGAGCCTGCATGATGCCTAATAGAAGATGACTGGGGAATACCTGCCCCTCTTTGATCTCAAGAGCACTGTGGCATGTCTTACCCTTTTCTTAGGCAAATCTGAGGAAGAAAAAATCTGAGAAGAAAAAGTAAACTGACAAAACCACAAATGCCCTGAAAGTATCAGCTGCCCTACTATATGTGCTGCTCTGGTGGACAAAGCTGAACAGAAGAGCAGTCCACCAACATGTGCACTGTAGATACAGGGTGGCGCTTGCACCAAAACTCTCCACCTGGAAGGCTCCAAACAGTGGCTGTCTGTAGGCACAGACTTATATGTGTTGATGTCAAGAGATCACTAAGAAGAATAGAACAGCAGCAACTTGGAAAGAAAGATGAAATTATCACATTACCTAACAGGATGACGAAAGCTAAACAAGTGCTTCCAATCCAAATTTCACAAGCAGGATCAGGAAACTGATAGATGGCTTGGGAGAGTATGTGAGGTGACAAATACCAAGTGGGTGTGAGAAAAAGAGAGAGAATGTGAAGGAGAGACTGGGGGGTAAACTGGCTGGTAGCAGAGCAGGGGGAGGTAGCCTTCTGTGAAAGTGCACTGCAACAGACTACTGGGTTCCAATGAGTGTTTTAAATATGTTCTCCAAACCAGTGACTTCAGCTGGTTGTGATAACCAGCTTTACAATGTTTGCTTGTTTGTTTATATACAGCCCCATTAGTGCATAGCATTTTCCTGGGTATTTAACAATATAATAAAACATTGGCATTAGAATTAACTCCTGAATCAAATAAGAACATGAACCACTAAAAGCAGAAGAGGCATTATCTTCTAAATGTGAGGTCAGGAGGCATAAGGACAGGCTTCTCTCTATAAAGAAAAGTCTCCAGAAGCCTTTTGAATGTTAGGAGGGAGGGGAAGGTAGTGCAGCTCCACCAACAGCTGGTTCCAAAGTGTAGGTGCCACTGCAAAAAAGGCCCAGCCACTTCTGGCTGATTTCCTGGCCTCCCTTGGAGTGGCCACCCGTAGGAAGGCCTGGGAGGGTCTGGTGAGGTGGGTAGTTAACCTTGAGGAAAGATGCTCCAACAAGTAAAGCAGTCCCAAACTGTGGATGATTTTGTATGCAAGCATCAGCGTTTATACTGTACAACATTGTGTTTGATATGTAGCGTGCTACTGTAAAGTGCATGTAATATTAAGTACTGATAGCAGATATAGCCTTAAGTTGTATTGACCTTCTCTTGTTTTCATTCCACCCATTCCATTTCCCTTTTTGGTTCATATTTCTTTAGATAACTTGCTTTTCTTAATTTGTAAGCCATGCTGAGAGCCTTTCTATCTAAACCGCTAAGTATAAATGCCTTGAATGAACAAACTCGTAAATAAATCAGTTAGGGAAACTAAACAGGATGTGAAATAGTGATAAAAACCTACCTCTGCTCCAGACTGCTACAAGCAGGCTGTGGAGTGACAGGATTTTCTTCTCCAGCTTCTGTGTTCTCCACCACATATTTACAAGAAGAATCTTGCGAGGTAGACAATTTTCCTTCCTCACTAATGAAGGAACAGGTTACAGTTTCATTTATGCTTTACAGATCTGCACTGTCATGCATTTGTGGGAGGGTTTGGGGGGGAAGGTCACATGCAAATAGGTTTTAGACATATGACTGAAACATGGAAAACAGGCACAAGGTTGTGGGTTCTGTTCACATTCATCACTGGCATCAGTTTATGTTCACTTAGGAACTGGACTGGAAAAAATGCAGGATGTAAGATTACAGAATAGTATAAAGAGAAGTAAAGAATGTACATGGTGCCCAAAGTGAAAAACATTCATTATCCTTTTCTGTACATACCGATAGGATTTCAACACTCTGAAGCCAAAAGTGAGGGGTGATGGGGGAAAAAAACAGAAAAGGAATATAAAAAAAACATCAAAGTTTTTCTATCAAAAAATAGTCCTCGGCATTAGCTTTATTTACGCAGCAACCCAATGCGTAGTGGCTTATTTCATGTTATTTATTCAAATGCTCTAGCTAAATTAGTCTTCACCGTTGTTGAGAATGGACTGTGGATACGTGATGTTGTTACACTGCTTTGCCTAAGCTAATTTTGGGCCTATTTCTCATAAACAGCAAAGAAGTAATAAATCTGTGTCTGGACTGTCCAATTCAGGCTGCAAATAAGGGCTCACATGTACGTATCACCCTTGGAAGGTAGCTTTTTAAAATGAGAAAGTGAGGTTTTTGTAGAGACGAACCATCAAATGCAGGACACCAGCCTCTGCAATCTGAAGTGGTCAATTAGGACACACACTTTCACTGGCTGACCTACTATTTTGTGAGACTGAAGCCTCAGTTTGGATGTCAGAGAGCAGATAAGGAATCCTGGGGCAAGCTTCTCTGAGCCTCCCAAAGGAAAGGAATGGATACAACTCTGAGAAATTTAAGAAAACACAGGTAGGTGTTTCAACCTTTCTGAGTCACTATTTGTATATATCTAAAAAGAAACCAGTGCAATTCACCCATATGCAAACTTTTGTAAATGATCATCCAAGTGGCTGGCTATGCTTTATCTAATGGCCACTTCTTATAAGTGTCTAATACCGTTAAAGAAAAACACAGGAAGAGCACATCAGTAACTTGGCTAAGCACAAAAATACTTGTTTTTTTCAAGAACATCCTTTTGACAAAAGAAAGAATACCCCTGATCAATGCAACTGTGAAGACAGGAATATTGGCCACACCACCAGTGTTTCCTATGTTTGATAGACAAGGGGCATTTGGAGTAGAATTTTTCTTACAACCTGCTGTACCAGCTTATGCAAATTAGCCACATTTTGTCCCTTTTATGTGGAAGAGAATCCACATAACTGTGGGTATGCAGCAAAGCTGAGACAGCCACTTTTCAGAATCAAAATAATCTGTAGAACTATTACAGCAGAGAAGGAAGAAAACAGGAAATTGACTTATTCCAGGTCGCAAACTCATCAGTTGAGCTGACTACTGGTCCATGAACAGACGACAGTTCTCCATGTTTCAGAAAAGAACTTTTCCCAGCTTTACCATGTGATCCCACTGATTGAACCGGGAATGTTTTCAAGGTAAATGCAAACTCTGCTGATAACCTATAGGCCTTTCCTAAAAATCCAGGACAGAACGCAGTCTCGAGCATTTTAAGTATTCCAATGTGATGCTTTGGAAGCCAGGACTGGCCACCCCACCCTACCCTAAACAAAGCAGGACAGGCTTTGGAGAAGGTTATCTCCCCTTCATGAGATGAAGAAACATTCATGGCAACTCCAATGTTCCTTTACTGGTGGAGGTTCACAGAGGAATGTAGGTCAGTCATTCGAGTATATTCTTGGGTGAACCCACTATCTGGGCCACATAAGTGGTTAGAGGTGGGGAAGTAGAGAACCATCTTAAAGTAGCCTTCTTCCCAATACAGCATCCATGGAAACAAAGGGAACCTTCCCTGTCATCATGAACAGTGAAGATCAGTTTGCTGCCCAATCTCTCTCTTCCAGTAGAGCACTGCTGATCTAACCTGTATGTTGTTGTTACTGTTGTTGTTGTGTGCCATCAAGTTACTTCCAACTTATGGAAACCCTATGAATAAGTGATCTCCACAATATCCTATCCCTGCTCAGCTCTTGCAAATTCAAGCCTGAGGCTTCCTTTAGAGATTCAATCCATCTCATATTTGCCTTTATTTCCTCCTACTTTCAACTTTTCCCAGCATTACTGTCTTTTGCAGCAAATCTTGCCTTCTTGTGATGTACTCTAAGTAGAACAGTCTCAATTTCAGCACTCCAGAGATAGTTCAGGTTTGATTAGATCTAGGACCCACTTGTTTGTCTCTCTGGCACTCCAGAGTATTCACAAAGGTCTCCTCCAGTACATTTAAAATTAATCAAATTTCTTCCAGTTACCTTTCCTTATTGTCCAGCTTCCACATCCATACATGGTGACCAGAAATACAAGAGTGTGGATGATCTCTTCTCTTGGTCTCTAGGAACACACACTTGATGATCTTTTCTAATTCCTTCGCTGTTGCCCTTCTGAGTCTCAGTCTTTTGATTTCTTGACTGCAGTCTCTATGTGGATTGATGAATGAACCAAGATACACAAAATCTCTAACTATTTCAATTTCTTCATTGTCAACGTCTTCTGCAATCATGATTTTGGTCTTTTCAATGTTCAACTGCAATCCTGCTTTGGCATCTTTTTCTTCCAATTTCATCAGAAGTCATCTCAAGCCATTCTTGCTTTCTGCCAGTAAGATAGTGTCATATGCGTATCTTAAATTATTAATATTTCTTCTACCAATTTTCACTCATACTTCATCTGACTGTAGTCTGGCTTTCTGTGTATGTTCTATGTACAGACTGAACAAGCATGAGGATAAAATGCATCCATGTCTGACATCTTTGCCTATAAGGAAACCATTCTCTCTCTCCATATTCTGTCCCAACAGTAGCTTCTTGTCTACAAAGGATGCATCAGGACAATCAGGTGCTGAGGCACACCCATTTCTTTCAGAATAACCCATATAGGAACAATCTCTGTCGGAGCCAGTAATCTTTGCACCTCAAATATCAGAAGATTCGCGTCTTGACCCACCAAAGTATAGTGGAATTAGCCTTATATAAAATGAAAAGAGGCCTTGATTTTAATAAAACTGTCTATGTATGTGATATATACCTTTGCAGATCAAGTTCTTGTTTTTCGTTGTATTCGCAAAGACTTTCGCGGCTGGGATCTAATGGTTGTTGTGGGTTTTTCGGGCTCTTTGGCCGTGTTCTGAAGGTTGTTCTTCCTAACGTTTCGCCAGTCTCTGTGGCCAGCATCTTCAGAGGACAGTGCTCTGTGCTCTAGTCTGTCCTTCAGAGGACAGAGTGCTGTCCTCTGAAGATGCTGGCCACAGCGACTGGTGAAACATTAGGAAGAACAACCTTCAGAACACGGCCAAAGAGCCCAAAAAACCCACAACCATTTTTGTTTTTCCTTCAGACTCTGGTGACTTAAGGGCAACCTTGTTATTAAAAAACTAGGAAAAGAGATGCTCAATAGAACGTATCTTAGTTTTGAAATGCTTCTTCCTCTGATAACAGCAACTGAAAGGGCCACTTTGAAGGACAGCAGATAGATTCTAACGTAAAAAATCTGAGGGGATATTTGTGGAGCATTTTCAAAACACCATGAAAATTCCAATGCAAATATTCAGACATGGGACTTCCATTTTTCTTGGACCTCAGCCTCCAAATTTCAACAGGAATTCCCCCAGCAAAAATACTGGGGGCTTTAGCCAAGAAATCAGAAATCTTCATAGGAATTTTCAGTTACTCACAGGTGAGGAATGAAGGCTCCATTGGCCATTTTGTTCCCATGGAGAAGACAAGAGAAAATGGGTGGGAGGGGCTAAGCCCCAAGAGTCTGTAAAAGATCAGAGAGCTGGCAATCTCTCTGCCCATTGGACCCTGTATAGTGTGCCACTCAAAAACAAAAAAACAAAACAAAAAAAAAACCTATCACTCCCCTAATCCGTTCTGCCTTCAAGAGTTTAGCCACTCATACAATTTTCTCTTTCCTCCTAACTGGACAATAATGACTGATAGAGCCTGTTTCATCCACAATTTAAATGTTTCCTAAATGAAAAAAGAGGTTACCTACCTGTAACTGTTTCTTCGAGTGGTCATCTGTGAATTCATACTAATGAATGCACACTAATGGGTTAATCTGCACCTGCGCAGAGCAGCCTTGGAATCTTCGAGAGCTCAAGCACATGGTATCAGGACCTCCCACATGCTCAAGCACTCGGTGCCGGGGTGGGGTTATAGCCAGCATGTGAGAAGTCCCAGCACCATGTGCCTGAGCAGGCGCAAATTAACCCATTAGTGTGCATTCACAGAGACCACAAAGAAGAAGGAATGCTATGTCTACATTGTAAAGTTTGTGTCTTCATCACACTGGCTCAAAGCAGAGTTTGTTTTCTCACCTTTTGAAGACAGCCGTTTCAGTTTTAGCATCGACAGTAAGGCTAAGGGTTTCCTTCATGCTGCCGTTCATTACTGTCTCAGTCACCTTATCTGCACTTTCGACTTCTTCTTCTCCATCAGAGCCAGCTTCCATTGCAACACTTCCTGCAACTAGAAAGAACCAGACTAATTTAAATATTTATCTAACAACTGCTTTTAAAGTACTTTAACCAGAGCAGAGAGGATCCCAGAGCAATAAATCTAACATCGATAAACTTAATAAGCAAATATCATTTCAAGCAAGAACAATGACCATGTCAACGTAATAGTTGAAAAAGAACTGCAACAATTTGGGTGTTTTACGATTGAACTATATATGCATTTTTGCCATTTTTTGCAGCTATTCATTATTCACAAGATGCAAGTATGCAACTGATGACAATACCTTTTTTAAAAAAATTATGCCCAGCCCATAACAATCATGTTTTCAGTCTATTTCACAACCTGGACCCATAAAAATACTGATGTCATCACATCTGAAGCCATGTCAGTTTCAATGGCCACATGACCACTCATTAGCTGTGCAGCATGGAAGAAATTCAGCAGGATGGCACAGTGCCAAATTCTATAGTTCTGGGTGGCAAAACAAGGCTTCCCTAGTGGAAGTGAAATGTATTTCTTCATTATTTCAATACAGTGGACCCGCGACATACGCACGGCTCGATATACATACTTTTCCAGGTATGGACTTCTCCGGCCACAAAATTTCCAATCGACTTGCGGCTGGAGGACCAACCTACGGATCGGAAGGGGGAGGCGGGGAAAGCAACAAATTCAAATTTGGCGCTTTCCCTGCCTCCCCCTTCCAGTCCGTAGGCCACCAATTGTGCTTCCGGAGGCCTTCCAGGGCTTCTCCGACACCATGGGAGTCCTCTTGGAGGTCCCCCGCCCCCAGTGGCTTTCCCAGGGTGGAGTAGGCCTACCAGGGGAGGGCTTCCCCTGGTAGGCCCGGTCCACCCTGGGAAAGCCTGCGTCGG